TTCAGTGGTTCTCTAAAAGAAGACATTTGTATGTATTTCCCATAGGGTCCTATGTTAAACTAAGTCCCCCGCTGGCGGCCATCTTGGATGATGGACCGACTGCAAAGTAACAACACTTCCTCAGCACCTCATTAGGAACAATCATGCCATGTTTTGTTCCATTCCATTCAGTGGTTCTCTAAAAGAAGACATTTGTATGTATTTCCCATAGGGTCCTATGTTAAACTAAGTCCCCCGCTGACGGCCATCTTGGGTGATAGACCGACTACAAAGTAACAACACTTGGTCAGCACCTCATAAGGAACATTCATGCCGTGTTTGGTTTCATTTCATTAACTGGTTCTCTAAAAGAAGACATTTGTATGTATTTCCCATAGGGTCCTATGTTAAACTAAGTCCCCTGCTGGCGGCCATCTTGGATGATGGATCGGCTACAAAGTAACAACACGTGGTCAGCACCTGATAAGGAACTTTCATGCCATGTTTGGTTTCATTCCATTCAGTGGTTCTCTTGAAGAAGTTCAAAATGTAAAAAGTTAACGACGACGACGACGGACGACGGACGACGGACGCCAAGTGATGAGAAAAGCTCACTTGGCCCTTTGGACCGGGTGAGCTAAAAATGTAAAAGTTTTTCAGAATTAATGTACTTGCAAGCACAAAATGAAGCCGAAGTAGAGTGTCATACCTTTGTCGAAACGACAACTATGCATTATTCAATTGTATCTACAGGACATTGAAGGAACTAACTGAATCAGTTATAAATTTGTAAATGATTCATTTATTATATATTATCTTTTCCAGGCTTCAACTTATGAGTTAAACTATATTTTTTCAAATCTATTAGGCAAGGAAATCTTATGACTTCCGATGAAAATGTTATTTTACGTATTACAAATATGTCGAATTTTGTGATTGGATAACAAAAATAGAGATGTCAGTATGTATATTTCGGAAACTGCCGGGGTATAGACGACATTTTTTACCCAAGTGGAACCTCAATAACGTCATCACAGAACAGTTAAATTGTCAATAACACTTCCCTGCGAAATTTGTTATCCAAAGGTCTGAAATATCGTGAGCCTAAATCCATCAATTGGAAATACAACTTCAAAATACTGATGGATTCAGTCGAGGGTTATACCAGGCAATGGGCTAAACGCGAGGAAGAATACGTAGATACTCTTTCCGAATGAATTAAGGCTGTGAGGTCGTTGATACAAATCCGAATTAAGAAACTAAATAGACCTATCAACACCCACGCTACGTCAATTTTTAAAGACCCAAATGTTGCAAAACACTTGTCCTACCTCCATGACAAATATGTTGTTGTCACCGCAGATAAAGCCCCAAACAACATCGTTTTTGTGTGTAAATATCATTACATAAACTGCTTGATAAATGAATTAGGTATTGACAATTCACTTGGAAACTCAACATATACCCTCACGACACTTAACAAAGAGGACATTCTGGATAATCATAGGTCTGTTCTATGTTCCTTTGGAATTTCAACCAAAGATGAAGAACTGGATCTTCCATCACTGTATTGGATACCTAAACTACATAATTGTCCTTACAAACAACGGTATATTGCTAGGTCTTTCAAGTGCTCCACGAAACCTCTTTCTAAATTATTAACATCTATTTTATCAGCAATCAAAGCCGGGCTCCGAAGTTATTGTGAAACTGCCTATTCTAGAGGTGGCGTGAATCAGATGTGGATACTAAAAATTCCAAAGATCTTTTAGAGTACATACATTCTAAGACTCTCTCATCTTGCAATAGTATTAAAACATTTGACTTTTCTACACTTTACACAAGTATTCCCCATTCCAAACTAAAAGACAAATTGAAAGAGTTGGTATTACTTTGTTTCATTAAAAAGAATGGCGAACGTAGATACAAGTATCTTGTCTTGGGGAGGGATAAATCCTACTTTGTAAAAAATTCTCTGAAACTGACATTATCAAGATGCTTGATTTCTTGATTGACAACATATTTGTTACATTTGGAGGACGTGTTTTTCAGCAGACTGTCGGAATTCCAATGGGAACCAAGTGTACCCTTCTTGTTGCCGACTTGTTTCTTTATTATTATGAGGCTGACTTCATACAGGAACTTCTTAGGAAGAAAGATAAGAAGTTAGCAATATCCTTTAACTTTACGTTCCGCTATATAGATGATGTTCTCTCACTAAATAATACAACATTTGGTGACTATGTTGAACGAATCTATCCCATCGAACTAGAGATAAAGGATACTACAGATACAGTTAAGTCTGCCTCATATCTTGACTTACATCTAGAAATTGACAATGAGGGTCGGTTGAAAACAAAACTTTACGACAAAAGAGATGATTTCAGCTTCCCAATTGTGAACTTTCCATTTCTATGTAGCAACATATATATATATCTCCCAATTGATACGATATACCCGGGCTTGTACTTCCTATCATGATTTCCTTGATAGAGGATTGCTGCTCACAAGGAAGCTATTAAACCAAGAGTTCCAAATGGTGAAGTTGAAATCATCCCCTCGTAAATTTTACGGACGCCATCACGAGTTGGTTGACCGTTCTGGAATAACCGTTTCACAGATGATTTCGGATATGTTCCTTATGTCGTAACTACAATACCCTTCCTTTTCACGAATGTGACCTACCGAATTAGACTATTTACCGGATTTGTAATAACATAAGCAACACGACGGGTGCCACATGTGGAGCAGGATCTGCTTACCCTTCCGGAGCACCTGAGATTACCCCCAGTTTTTGCTGGGGTTCGTGCTGCTTAGTCTTTAGTTTTCTATGTTGTGTCATCTGTACTATTATTTGTCTGTTTGTCTTTTTATTTTTGGCCATGGCGTTGTCAGTTTATTTTCGATTTATGAGTTTGACTGTCCCTCTGGTATCTTTCGTCCCTTTTTTAAAGGATGACAGAGGCTCACAAAAGGGAAATAATTACGAGGATCCGTCAATAATACGTTTTTAATTTAAAATCACGCGATTTGCATATCAAAATTATTGCATACCCGATAAAATTATTAATACTGCTAAGGTAATTACAAAATCTTTCCCGTATGCGGAAAAATATCAGGTTGGGTCTTTTCTGTTGTCAAAATACATGAAAAGTCACCAACATAAAAACGGTGCACATGGAAGGTAAAAACTTTATTGCAAATATATTTTCCTAAAGAAAACAAATTATTTTTCAACATGATCAAGATAAAAAAAGTGCATGTAAATGAATTGCAGAAAAATATTTTCAGAAACATGTACTGAATATCTATTCTGAATGTTAAATTTCTGGTACTGAAAACTACATCAAGGAAAGGGTAATTCGTAATATATAACTGTGTGATTCAGGTTTCAGACAGGGTATATAATGTGATATTCCCGGCTTAGAGTTAATATCCCCTTCGCCTTCAGATCATGGAATATAATCGTTAGACCAAGAATGTCACATTATATACCCTGCCTGAGACCAGAATAACATATAATATATTCTAACACCTTTATCATGTATCAAAATCATATATGATGAGATTCAGACCTGTGTTGATCTGTTAAAGCTGGCAAAACACATCAATCCCTTCAAGAATATTATACACCTATTGACTGGTTATGAGGGTAATAGTAAGTTTGTTGTCCCTGAGATACCAACTATTGCTCGAGGTGAAGCCAAGAGCAATAGTTAGTTTCAAAGGGACAACAAACTTGCTATTACACTCATAACCAGTCAGTAGGTGTTTGATTATACCGAGCAAAACAACATTCTAAAAAGACTACATACACCACTTGGGAAAAAACCCAAATAGTCACATAAACATGCACAAGGTGAACTATCAGGTTTTTTTTGTTTTTTTTACTCGTGTGGTATTTATCAATATTTTATATAGTGTAATCAAGACCAGGAGTTCTTGTGTAAAAATTCCCGTGCATATAATAAACACTAGCTATCATATGTTACCTTAAACCAAAGCAACCCCAGATTATGAAGACGACGACACCCCCATACCATACATTTGTTATGTTTTAGTTCTTAAAATATGTCATGTAGATTTTCTTTTTCTTTTTTAATTGCTTCTGGTGAGTAACATATTAATTTGAAATAACGACGACAGACACATACGGATTATACCGTTTACGATATTTCAGAGTTTAACGTTGCCAAGCCCACAAATCCAAGCAGAATAGTCAATGTCGTCATTGTTGTCTCATGAAAAATTAGTATGAAAAAGTACGAGAAATATGTTCATAAAACTGTTGACCGGGATAATTGTCTTTGAAACTATTGACTGGCAAATAGTCTGTAGAATGAAATAGCACAAATATTTCATTCTTTTTTATATCGAAAAAAACATACTGAGGTATAATAATAAACAATTATTTCCCTTGTTGCTAGGAAGATAAGAAGATTTGTTCACTCAAGACAATTCATATTTCCCGATGACATCGTTTCATATCCAGGCCTAGATTTTTTTTACTCAGAAACAAGTATTAATTATCAATGTTTTATATCCGCTTCCTTTTATAGCTAAATACGACATTGACAGTACCAATCTAAAGTTAGGTATTTAATCTTTGATAATATTTTTTCTGTTTTGTTTTTGTTTTTGTTTTATTTCTGTATAAATATTTACATTTTTTACAGCACTGGGTCGATACCTTTGCTGGTGGACTATCACTCCCCGAGGGTATTATCAGCTCAGTAGACAGTACTTCGATACTGACATGATTTATGACAAACCTTTCTAAAATTGCCCGTTTATAAATTTTTAAATTATTTAGAAACTAAGATTTTAACTCCCTTAGGCAAAGTTGACCTTAGATGGATTTGGCTATCTTTATGTTCATTCGGTCACATAGTTCTTCAACATCGGTTCTTATACATCCTTGGCTTTCAAATATTTTGTATTGAGCGTGCCTGATGAAGGTAAATCCAGAAAAGCGCTTTGGACGCATGAAATTTATAACGTATTGTTTATATTTTTTACAGCACTGGGTCGATACATCTGCCGGTGGACTATCAATCTCCGAGTGAATCATCAGCTCTAATTTCGGCTCTCCATAGCGCAGTAGCGGCTCGATGGATATTGTTGCTGATAAAGTTAGTATTAAAAAACAAAAATGCCATTATTATATATAACTGTTGCCAATTAAAAATGACTGTTAAGAATGTTTTAGTTGTATTTTTCGAATATTAAATAATTAGACGGTTATTACAGTAAATTCAATGTGTTTTTAAAAATACTTTATATAAGATTGAAATATTGTTTTATAAATTATGATATCGGTACATGCATATTGTACATTTTATACTTGTAGATTTTCCATTAGCACTTCATATATGTCTTTTTTTCATCTGTTGTCAGTGCTAACTGATATTTTGATTTTGAATAGGTCATGGTATAGTATAATCAGTTACAGATATCAATGATGTTTAGTTTTGGTCTTCACTTTACTTTAGTAAGAAACTTTATCAGATATTATCCGATTTTGATACAGGTTCTCTCTGTTTACGGTAAATGAAATCACGTACATGTATGTTTTAGAATTAGACACGTGACATTAGCCAATGTAGTATGGTATGTAGCCTTGTTACCTACATCAATGCCATTTGCCTTTTCCTTTGTGTGTGTATGACTATGCTGTTGTTTCTTCTACTTCGACGTATACATTTTATGTTCACATTCGTACTTTTTCATCTTTATATGTGTTACATAAGTTTTCCCTAATCGCAAATCAAATTTATTTATATACGTTTTGTATGAGTGCTTTGGTAGTAATCCAGAGAACTTGAATTAAAGTATCTTGTAGTCTCGAGCTAAAATGAACCAAATCCACATGAAGTCCCAAAGTTCAAATTTTGATATATAAAATGAGTCTTTTTCTATAAGATGATATTGAAGTAAATTTATTTTGCACTTTCCAAGTTTCAGGGACCAGTAGAACAGCATAACTGCTCACACGAATCATGAGTTCATTTAGTAGCATGTTAAACAAAATTGTACGTAATATGTGAATCGTAATGACGGCCGGGTACTTGGATTTTCGCAATAAATCCTCAATCGCAGACGACACTATGACAGAGGACTTTTCAATATGCCGGTTTTGCGTAATATTTAAATTTGTATTTACCAATTTAAAGTAGAACTTGCGTTCCAACTTACCATTTATATGGAATATTAGAAAAGATCTAGGTGTAAAAACTCTTTAATAAAAATGCATTATAATCTATGATATGAACTATGGTAGATTAGTATTTCGGTTTTGTTTACTCTTATTTTGTCGTTCATTCTTATGAGTTAAGACTATACACTTATTGTGTTACAGGTAAAACTGCACACAATTGCCCAAATTCAGATGATCTCCCTGCTATTTAAATATTACCAACAGCCTTACTCCAAAACAACCTTTTGCTACATAATATACGAGAAAAACACATTTTTTGGTAAGGCTTTTGTTTATTATATAATTTACCAAATTTAAAGATATATGTAAAAAATAAAACTTTTATGACGTTCACTCCACATTTCCATGGTTACTCAAATCTATTCAGGACGTGAAAGAAAAACAATCAAAAATATAGTTAACTAACATTCATTGGAACTGAACGACGACAAGACAAGTGATTGTAGACATGTTCGATATATGGAAAGTAGGGTATCTTCCTATGACATGAATGTATTATTGTCCTGAATATTTATGCAATATTTGCAGCTGGACGTTAAGCGTTTCTTCTGCAATATTAAGGCTTTAAAAAGCTAACATGTACTTCAGATGAATTCACTTATATTTCTACACGTTGTGTTGTTTTGTAATTTTTTGGGGGATAACTTCTCTTATATGTATCCCTCTAGATCTCCTTTTTACTTGGTCTTGATTTTATTTATTGAAATTGCTCTACAATCCATTCAAATTAGTTTTTCTTTTATACATTATATCCTACAAAGTCATTTATTTGTAGTATTTGTGTTTCATTAATAAGGATAGTATTATTCTTATTGTTTTGTCCATTATAGCATTTAATTTGTTGATATTACATAACATTTGTGTTCTTTACATTTAGTTTGATGAACATCTAACAAAGAACTTTGCTTAAGTCGATGCTGCTCGGGACTGATATAAACTTATAATAGTTGTGAGTATATTCTCCATGTTGAAGTCATATTTGTCACTTTGAGACATAAAATAACTCCGATAAAAGAAAGATGCTTTTGGTTTTGGATTTTTGAAATGCGTGTTGGAATTTTGTGGCATGAATATATGCATTTTACATTTGTAACAGTTTGTGTCATGACACAAGCCATGAAATAACCAGTCCCTTCCTTACTTACAGCACACACGTGTAAATTGTAACAGAATCTGCCGATCCTCGTGATGCATTTGAGATGAACGTTTTTTTTTTGCAATTTGTTTCGTATGTATTTTTTTTTTCTTCGTTGATCAATGTTTAAAACTGCTCGGATTACTCACAAAATGTCTATGTTTTTGACAAATGTCGCAAATAAACACTTAAGTATGTATACTAAAGAAATTTATCCTGTTGAACTTACTTTAAATAAAGCTAATACTAACAATGACCACTGCCCTTTCCTCGATCTTGATATCTATATCATTAATGGAAAGCTTAATACTAAAATATATGATAAAAGAGATGATTTTTCATTTCCTATCGTTAATTATCCATTTTTAGATGGTGACGTTCCCTTGTCACCATCTTACGGTGTTTATATATCTCAACTTGTACGATTCGCTCGTGTATGTAACAATGTTTTAGATTTTAACGAGAGAAATTTATGTATTACTGAAAAATTATTACACCAGGGTTTTCGATATCACAAACTAGTCAAAACATTTACTAAATTTTATCATCGGTATAAGGACATCATTCGTAAATATAGCTCAACATGCAGACTTCTTATACGTTCAGGTATTTCACATCCAATTTTTTATGGAAATATTCTTTATAAAGCACAAAAATGTCAGTATTCACCTCTGAAGCTAACAAAACCTTTAAATAGACTTATTAAGAAGGGATATAGTTACGATACTGTTGTCAGGTCATTAAAGATTGCATATTTTGGCGTTAATATTGATTCACTTATAGGGTCTTTGCATCGGCACTAAACACAATTATTTAAAAACCAGTTTTGGCATGACACGGGTTATGTTCTTCTCATATATGTTATGATGGTATGATACTAAACCCCTAACGGGAAGGATTGTGCCTGATATTCATATGATGAAGACATAATCTTTCAATCAGTTTAATTGAAGTCTGGAGCTGGCATGTCAGTTAACTGCTAGTAGTCTGTTGTTATTTATGTATTATTGTCATTTTGTTTATTTTCTTTGGTTACATCTTCTGACATCAGACTCGGACTTCTCTTGAACTGAATTTTAATGTGCGTATTGTTATGCGTTTACTTTTCTACATTGGCTAGAGGTATAGGGGAGGGTTGAGATCTCATAAACATGTTTAACCCCGCCGCATTTTTGCGCCTGTCCCAAGTCAGGAGCCTCTAGCCTTTGTTAGTCTTGTATTATTTTTAATTTTAGTTTCTTGTGTACAATTTGGAGTTTAGTATGGCGTTCATTATCACTGAACTAGTATATATATTTGTTTAGGGGCCAGCTGAAGGACGCCTCCGGGTGCGGGAATTTCTTGCTGCATTGAAGACCTGTTGGTGACCTTCTGCTGTTGTCTGTTCTATGGTCGGGTTGTTGTCTCTTTGACACATTCCCCATTTCCATTCTCAATTTGACTTAAGCAATATTTTGAATTTTTAATATTAAAATCCTAAATAGAAAGGTTGTTCACAAAATTTTCGACCTGTTCATCGGCAACAATGTGTAATATATATAATATGATGCATTGTGTAGAAACTGACCAATGATCATCCAGTCGAGATAGTTTTGCAGGAGTTCCACAAAGGGTTCGTAAAAAGTATTATTGGAAACAAATCTAATGATTTTAGTTTTCTGTATAAAATTAGTTATTAAAATCAACTTTTTCAAGTTTTATAGCATGATCATACCTCAAAATTATACTACTTAACTTTTACTTTTGATTAGGATATTATATTTGTTGTAGTTTGTCTTCCGTTTCTTTTCACATACCTTATATAAGATAAGGCTTACATTTTTTTGTAAAATGTTTTCTGTTATAGTTTTACGTGTTTTCGTGCCTAATGATAATTGTTCGCAGAGTTTCTTGCATATTAGCGTCAGTGCAACTTTCGAGTTTAACAAAGACTTTTCTCTTCACGATACATACATTGTTGTTCCTTCGGACAAAGCTTCAAATAATATTGTTTTTGTATGTAAAACGTACTACTACGACTGTCTTGAAAAGAATTAGATATTAATGAGCACTCAGGTAATCCCACATACAAAAACATATCTTTTGACAGGAATGAAATTTTTGCTAATCATACGTCCTTCAAGGCTTCAATGAACCTTACATTAAATAGCAAATCTGAGGACTTGCCTTGTTTGTATTGGATACCTAAGCTTCACAAAATTCCATACAAACAACGGTACATTGCCGGCTCATCTGCATGTTCTACAAAGGAATTGTCTATTGGATTGACAAAAAATCTGTTCACAGTGAAAGAGGGTCTTCAGAAATACGGTGAAATTGTTTACTTGCGTAGTGGTATTAACCATATGTGGATTCTAAAACAAACTCTAAAGAACTTCTGGATAATTTCGAATCCCGATCTTTCTCTGAAATTAATTCTATCAAAACTCGTGATTTTTCAACCCTGTATACCACCATTCTCCATGTGAAATTGAAAAATCGTTTAAAAGAAATTCCTATGGGAACGAACTGTGCACCTCTCCTTGCCGACCTCTTCTTATTATGTTCATATGAGTCGGAGTTCCCTCAGACACTTATCAAAAAAAGAAGATCAAAGAAGCCAGATTATTTAATATCACATTCAGATATATTGATGATGTTCTTTTCATTAACAATCCAATCTTTTCTGATTGGGTTCCATTAATATATCCTCCAGAACTAGAAACAATAGACACGTCTTCCTCCGCCTCATTTTTAGACTTATGCCTCGAATTTGACATAATTGGTCTTCTCAGTACTAGAATCTATATAAAACGATTTTAATTTTGAAATTATAAATTTCACCCACCTTAATTAGCAGCAATATACCAACTTCACCTGCATATTGGATATACATTTCCCAACTCATTCGGTATTCAAGAGCTTGCAGCTGCTACTAAGACTTTATAAAACGTCACCTGTGTCTGAGCAGAACGTTGATGAACCAGGTTTATGTAAATTTTGATATGATAGAACGTGTCCATTTAAAATTTTGCAAGCTTGTTCTACACTTAAAACAGAGTACACCTAGCTGTATTGTTTATGCAGATTTGGGTAAATATCCTGTAATTCTTAATGCCAAAGTGCGTAAGATTAGTTTCTTATGTAGATGACTATGTGGAAGAGAAAGTAAAATTTCATTTCTTTTATATAAACTATTGTATATTAATTTTCCAAACTATGGTCTTAATTGTAAATGGATATCATTTGTAAAAATTGTTTTTGATACAAGTGGAATGTCAAATATCTAGTTGAACCAATTGTTAGATAAATGGGTAATTAAAAGTATTGAGATGAAACTTAAAGACTAGTTTTTGCAGAATTTCCTAAGCGAAATTAACACTATTCCTACCTGCTTATGTTATAGAATTTTTATAACTGATGTTAAACTGGAAAGTTATTTTTCCAAATTGTCAATATATAATCAATTTTTATTGTGTAAAATTGTCTATAGAGTGTTTATCTGCCATTTTGTTTTTCTTCGTTGAAATAGTTATTTTTATAGTGATTAAGGTTATAACTCAATGTTGACTGCTGTTCCGCAATTTTTGACATTTTTACCTATTTTTTTTTTTTTTTTTTTTTTATTGTCTTGCTCATACATTGTTGTCTACAAACTTTCTCTGTAACTCAAACTTGATTAAACTACAAATAAAGCATAATTGGTTGGCTCTTACACTAAATGCGACCGTGTATTATGGGATTTGTTGTTGTTTAAAATACATAATTCGAATGAGAAACCCGTTGTTTTATTTTATTTGCAGACATTTAATTGAAAAACTGAATTCAAAATTTCGACACTGTACGATACATTTTCTTTTGAGTTTGTTTGCTTTCTTTAGTACCGTTCGTTGTAAATTCTTGTACTGTTTGTTGTGCGAAAGCCTATCAATATGGTAGAAATGTGTATGAAACGGCGTGACAAATTTTTAAAGCTTTTTCAAGCGAGTACCAAAACTTTTCAAGGAAAAACAATTTTTTTTTTTCTGAGTCAGAAATATTTTATTTAGTTTTTCGACGCCATCAATCAAATTATTTTTTTTTCAAAATTTTACTCTATAAGGTATGGGGAAAATCTGGATTCAGAATATTTTTTTGTCATCTGCTTGACCAGAATTTTTTCTTTTCATTAAATTGGGGATAAGAATATTTTTTTAAAAAACAAACCATAACATCAAGATCAAAATATTGGATTTCTAAGAAACTTGATTGCAGTCAGGCGCGATGTGTTTCACGTCAAACAAATACAGAATTCATGTTGTTTTAATCTTCAATAGGAAATGTCAAATAGTTTAAGTAGTTGCAAATGCTTGGTAACAAAAAAATAAAAGATATGTATCTAAATAGAAACAGCAAATTATGTTCCCGATTTTTTACTAACGAACGGTACAGAACTATACCGAAAACAAATCCACGTGCGGTACACGACGCACAACGTCTGGATTCAACCATACGTTGTTTATACCCGTGTATATTCAAGTAAGTATCTACGACTAGCTTGCATTTCAAATTGTAAATATCATTAATATTAAGTCATTAAAAGACTATTTTCAGTTGTCGCATGTCGAATTATTATATAAAAGAACAATGAAAATTCATCGCACCTCCAAAAATTCCACATCAGAAATGATCGCACCATCGCATTTATAGTTAAAATGAATCGCATTCAGTAATCAATATTATGGATTCAGCAGCTTTAATTACCCTTTTTTGGACTTTAATCCTGTTCTTATACATTAAAAAGTTATATTCTAATGAAATTGTTTTAAAACATACTTTCAAACCAATTATTTTGTATTTTCAAAATGTAAACAAACGCAGTTTTTCCCATCATCCTTTATTCTACAATAGACATACTCGCATACGACAATGAAAATAAACTAACTGGATTCGCACTTTATATACCCTGAGATTAGTTTGAACGTTGCATCAAATCAAGTCGTTATGCAGTGTGTTTTACCATGCTGTAAGGCATTTACTCGAAAAAAAAACAGCGGCCGATATTTGAATGCAATAAAGCATAACAGTTATTTAAGCCTAGTATGTACTTTGACCTTGCTTCTAAAACTGCAGTCATTGTTTTTATGATATTTTGTTGTACTCGTTTATTCATAGATAAGGAATATGCGGTATGACTGTCGATAAGGCATGTAA